ACATCCATTTCATGTAAAATTTATCGCAATGCATATAATAAGACAAAATTACTTTTTTACCCAGTACATAATTCCAGAGGGTGAGATCAAATTGTCCCTCTGTGTGTTTTAAACAAAATTCCGTATTGGATTGTTAATAAACAATGCTAATTTACTATAAGAATTTTATCATAACAGCAAAGATTTATATTTAAAAACAGTTCTCAGCAATTAAACTTCTTAAATTTGCAAAATAACAGAAAAATTTGCAGTCGGTATATTTACATTTCAGAAAACTGAACTTGCCATTGCTAATAAAATAAATAATTTCTCATGCTAAAGCAGAACGGCAAAAGACTGTTAGGTGTTGCCATGTTTTTCAAAAGCAAATTATCATTAAATTGTACTAGGTTGTCAAACTTGTATTCATTTATTCTCTAACATATTTTTCTAAGTTATCAAATATCTTTAGTAATCGAGTGTCCCTAATATTCTCTAAGTGAGAATGCACTTTCTAATTCCAGATGTATTAAAACTGCGTAATGTAATGTAATAAATGGAAATGGAATAATGAATGAAAATGTGCACGTAATGGATGTGCAAATATAAATGGTCGTTTCCTTAGAAAATTTCAACCAAAGATTGTAAGTAAAAATAATCTATTACATTATTTTTAAAAACATTTATTTTTCCTATAAACTCGAAATATGAAGGACATACATGCAAGAATATATTTAAAATCATTTTTAATAAATATTTATGAAAATGCAGCTATTTACAATCGACAGGTAAAACAACATGCTGAAATAAGTATTTTCAGTAGCTGACTAGAAAAATACAATACATGTTAAAACATTTTGTGTAAGAAAAGAAGTAAAAATGACACAAGGCATAAAGTATTTAAAGCCATGATAATATATATACAGCATACAGCATTTACACCTTTTCTTCTGTATCTCCTCGAATTATTTTTATAGTTCATTGTGCGTCAGATGGGTAAAAAATCAAAGATAAAATATACAAATTTGAGCTTCAGAGTTCACTTGGTATATCATATAAAGAAGAGTATGTAAAGTAATTTCAAAGTTGAAGAGTATAAGAAAGAAGTTTATGGTACAAAACATTTGTTCCAAGCAAACACAAACGAAGATTATCTTCTAATTGATAAAACATTTATTGGCTGATAAAGTCAGCATTTTACCAATTCGATAAATATTTTTCAAAACTTTAAATAACTCCTCCAAAAGGCATTTTAGATCATCAGCGGTGAAGTCACTAAATTTGCTGAAAAGTGATTCCAGAATTCGATTTAGAGGTCCTTTGCCCCTCTTTAAATACACATTCCTTCCCTCTAGAAATAAGTGAATGGAGTGATTTCTTTAAATAATATCTTTTGTGAGGCAGATGGAGACCTGTTGCCAACTTTGGAATTATTATTATGGTTAATGCAATATAGTCAAAGTGTAATCTCATGACTTAATGTATAACTATGTACATCTGATGTTAAAAAACTAAAACATTGATTAAGAATTCTTCTTAGAAATCAAATAATCTTCAAATTATTTCTTAAAATTAGTAGTATATAATTGACCTTCTATTAAATTCTTTAGTACCAAAACATTTTCGCTAAAACTGTTATTAGAAAATAATCAGTCATGTTACAAAAATAACAATTTAAAGAGAATTTTACAATTACAGGTTATGAAGTAAAAGTATTTATTTTCGTACACTATAATGCGGACCTTTTGTTAAAGCATTTTCATGATTATTTTATCTCTAGTATTTATATAACATAATTATTTTATCTAGACTTTAGAGTGCGTATGCAAAAATTGTGAATTTAAATGAATGCTTATAATTTTTTTGAAACTTAAATAGATTGTGAAGCATGAAAAAGAGCTCACCTGTGATTAATTTGAAACAGTCCAAACATTTTACTTTAACAAGCTATAAAATTCAATCTTAATTATAGAAGCTTGTAAAATTTTATTAAAAATGATAAACTTTCATTAGATAGAATAAGTTTGAGAAAAGGTACTAAAGCTGAAGCATTCCGCCCCCCCTTTGATAATGAAAGGAATACCTTGTTTTATCAAATTCTATATTTTGTTTCAAATGAGATGAGTTATAGACTATAAAAGTAGTGAAACACTTGATAGGGATGTGTAATGCAGCATGCCGGTTTACAAAATTAAGATAACTATAATTTTCGGAAAAATACTAGACGTTATTTCATTTTTGTGGTCGTTAAAATTAAATTCTTTGGATATTTTTAAATAATGCAAATATAAAATTGACTGGCATAAGTTTTCTGTCTTCTTCGGCTGACGTTTACTTTTAGAGAAGAACATTTAAACATATCCGAATTCTATTTTTCTTTTTTTTTAAATATTATTATAGGTCTTCATCTATCATGTTTTTCTAATTTTACTTTTCATGAAACAATTACATATAAAGAAATTGATGTGAGGCCATCCGTAAAATCTACATTGCATGGCTCTTTCAAGGTAAGGACTTAAACTTAATATCACATAAGTATATCTAAGAAAATGATTTAAATTAATACATGGAAGATATTTGAGACTACAGTCATTGTGGTTCATAAAAGAAACTACAGACAGGTTTCATTTTCAGCAGATTACTTAATAAAAATGATGTATTTTATTTTGAATATAAACATTCACTAACGATTTCAGATAAAATTATTGGAATTTTCATCATTATACTGGTTTCAAGCTATTGTTTGCTATTATTTCATACAAAAATAAAGAAATAATTAATTTAAATTTCCATTAGAAAAATTAACGCAGAAAATGAAATGCTTGTCTTGCAAGTTGTTTTGATTACTAGAAGTATTTTATTACTGTGAAGCCACTGTTTTTTTAAATATCGATAAATAGAAACTGTTTTATTAAATCGATAATCCAAACCAGACAATGCTTGTCTTGCAAACTGTTTTGATTACTAGAAGTATTATTACTGTGTAGCAATTTTTTCTATTATCAATAAAATAGAAACTTTTTTAGTTCTTACTTTCAATTTTTTAAATGAATTCATAAAATAAAATTATTCATTGAATTTATTATGAATTTGCTTGTAAGATACCGAAATATAAATAAGTAATATAAATTTAATTCATTCTGTATTGTAGAAAAGGTGAAAAGGTTATTACTAGACCTTTTACTACAATCTAAAAAAATATTCGAGATAATTTTTTAACACTCTAAGAATTTTACTTCGTTACCTTTTATCTATTAATAATAATGGTTTAAAGAAAGTACTGTCCCTATCATTGTAAGTAACCTCTCTTGCCTGACCTAATCAGAACAAGCCCACGAATTTTATTAATTACAAATTTATTTTATACAAAATTGCATATTTCGGTTGGAAGAACATTAAGCACTATATAGGTGACGGTACGATTTTGCCCAGCTCCCCCAAAATGTTGAGGGAGAGTACACAGGGGGAGACCCTCGAATCCCTCTCCCCTGCCATCAAACCACAAGAGAGTACCTTCGTCTCGCCATATATCTGTAATGTCCTCATGCCACAAAGACACAATATTCATGCCTTTTCCGAGCTCGGAATCTGGGCCCTTCTGTACAGTAGTCAAAGTCATTAACCACTATCCCGTTATGCTCCAAGAAAAGTACTTAATATTAAATGACTTTAAGTACGGAGATAATATGTATATTTTTCTTTTGTGTCTTTTTATATTAAAGTTTTGATGGTTTTATTAGAAGCGTAATTGCTAGCGGTAGATATAGGAAAATTTTAAAATGTGATTGGAAGTAGGTGGGAAATAGTTACTTTTTTTTTCAATGTATTTTAAACCTTGGTTGACGTATAAAATTTTTAATCAGGAGTAAAATGGTAGATTTTTAGAAAATGATGTAAAATATTACCTGTGAATTGATGAATAATAGTAAACTACTGAAGCTGCGATGTATCTGAAATATAAGAACTTTAAGAACTTTTATGTAAGAACTTTTATATGTATCTGTTACGGTGAAACACCGAAATCTGGAGAATGTCGACTTTCAGAGGTGAATGTCAACATTCACATAGTCTCTTGGTGTATGTCCGAAATATTTTCCAAATAGTCTTATTTCTGACTTACACCGGTCAATGTCGACATTCACCATGTACTAATGGTTGAACATATAACAATATTATATTTTCTTCTCCGTAATTCAGTCGCGAATAAACGCACTTGAGACTTGAAATAAGAACTTAAGATGAGAATCTAAAACACACAATACATTCAAAATGAGAAAGGAAAATAATAGAAGTTAAAAACTTACTTAATTATACAGTACGTTCTAAATGAGAAAATAAAATAACAGTAATAAAAAATTTACTAAATTATGTGATTCAAATCTTATTTATTGCAACAACTTAAACTATTATGGCACTTTATGACCTCTCTTTTCGATTTTCACCAGAGCATATCTGTGATTGTCGACATACCGGTGAGGGTCCGAATATACAAAAATGTAGTAAAATATTCGGTCTTTCACCGACGTATTTGGTGAATGTTGATATTCTCCCGGTGAAAGTCGACATTCTCCAATTTCGGTCTTTCACGGTAACATATCTAAGAAAATTCTAGACTTTTAATTTTATGGAGCTTTGCTTTTAAATATTTAATTTTTGTTCAAAATATACAAAAAATGCAATTAAAATTGCATTCTCTTCGACATATATTTTGAATTGTTTAATAACATTTGTTATCATTTAAGTCCGTCAACATTTATTTTTTATTAAGTGTATGGAAAAAAAAATAGCGAACAAAGCATTGAATCCTGTTATTTCTTTCCGCATTCTGTATACATTCAAAACATTCACTTGTGAAGATGTTACTAATTACTGAAAGTGACCGATATTATATGCGAATGTTACAAATTCATTACTAATCAATTAAATTACAAGGTTTATAACTGTACAGATAAGACAACTAACAGATTATTAAGAATGTATATTTGGTACTATAGAATTCAATATGAGTTCTTAAGTCATGTCAAATATCACATCAAAAGAATAAAATAATTTCCAATTTGTTGTGTTCTACAAAAACAATAATATAAGTAATTATATTAAAATAAGCTTAATTTACAATGTTCATTATTCTTGAACACTTTCAATTTTACTGTTCTTCCATTTCCCAGACACGAAAATCAAGTATGTTTTCACACAAAACGGTGTGGAAATCTTAACGTGTGTATTATCTTCAGCTTTGTAGAGTAGGTCGAATTAACAATATAAGATTTAATTTTTCACTTCTCTACAGCAGTGGCAGCGGTTTTTACTAACACTTTGCTCAATTTTTCAAAGTCTGTTATCACATAAGTGGTAAAATATCTGTAATAATTCAATTCATTATAAATATTTTCAAAAACAGCTTGTTTCTTTTCAGGATGATGTATTTTTCTGCATATGTAAAAATATGCTCTCGCATTTAACTGAGATGTCCTTAAATTCATCTTTAAAACAAATGTCCTTTCAGGTCAAAGAATGCCTAGTAGTATCACTATTTTATGTTTGATTGAGTGTTTTGCCACTTGCTCCAACACCGAACAACTGTCGCCGTCTTTTCCTGCAAAATAAAATGAACAATTAAAATCAGACAATCATATGCGTCATTGTAAAACATAACTAGGTTTATAACTTTGTACAAAAGCATATATATAGCAAAATAACAAAATAAAAGAACATTTTGCTCAATTCTGTTTTAATGATAGTAACATTTTTAACGAGATGGTTTGCATTTTTCTTACGAGAACAAAAATATATGCTTATTCGTCAGCCTCAAATTTCACATTCACATTTCTAATTTGCTTTATAAAATTATGAATTCAGTTTTAAAACTCCATTTCTCCTCATTGTATGACCTACAGTCTCCGTATACATGACAAACTTTTAAGTTATTTTACTATTTTTACATGGTTTTGTTCAGGTTGGTTTCTCTATAGACAGACTGGCGTGCTTATTTATTATAATACGGCATGTTACCGCCTTACTTGCATTTCGGAGTCAAATAGTATCTTTAATTACACCATAAATCGCAGATACTGGGGAACCGTTGTATTACTCTGTAATTTTTGCCTACCTGTGTATAATCAAATATTTATGTCCTTCCAGATGTCTAATACTTAAACTATATGCTTGACCGCATTTATGGTTATATAATTTTATACGTATCTCACAGTTTTGCGTTGCAATTCCAACCTTATGAACATTATTAATGTCAGACACTTAAAAGCGGTGATTCGAATAGCCATCGAGAAGAAATAATGATAAACAGAAGCTCGTTCTAGAATGAATATACATACGTTAGTACTCATTAACTAAAACTTCATCTTCCTCCATTAGAAGATAAAACGCTTCTCCAACTATCTGATTACCATAAAACCATCAAATCTGAAGAGATAATAACAAAAGCAGTAAAATCAAATTCTCTTAAGAAGCATCTTAGCAACAGGAAGCAATCCCTAACGGATACTAAACTGATCACAGACCAAAAGCAATTTGGAAGAGGATACCGGAAACCCAGTCCCAGAAGGGATCTAAATTGGAGATATCATTAATTAGCTTTTCCTGATGAACCTCGTCGTTAAAAGCGAGGGCCGAACTGAGTTGGTCATTAACAAGTTTTTACGGTAAACTTGAGATGTTTCATCACACTGAAGATTTATTTGATATTTGTGCTTCTACTAAAATATCTAAACTTTTTACTTAAAATCCTTTCACTGGACTCACTAGAGGATACGAGATTAGCGTAGGATAAGATATCACATAAATTTCGAGCTAATAATATTCAATATATGACGAAGGTACTGGCTACTGTGATCTAGCTATTATCATGCAAGTAGACCCTTGTATTCATTGAGATTGCATTTTGGTACTGAAATATCACGTACATTACCTCAAGTACATTTTGTTACTGTTACTGATATTCTCTTACCGCCTTATATTTATGATTACATACATGGTTCAGAACCCGAGACCCTCATATTCAGACGAGTATGCAGTTTTTAGACTATCGAAAAAGGTTTGTCAATCTTAAAATTCCTGTGTAAATGCTCATAGATTAAATACGTTTTCAGGATATAAGAAGGGTCTTCTGCAACCGTCTATTTATCATTAGCGGGAAAATAAAGGCATAAACTCTGTTAAACTCCGTTGTTATGACTTGCAAATAAGTCTTAGATTTTTATAGCCATCCGAGTCAGTCACATCAGATGTACAATTTTCGCTCTTCTTTGGCAACTCTAGTATTTTTCGCATCTTTTACCATATCATTATTATTATGATATATTCCTTAACGTTAAGAATGGTAATGATCTATAGCATGGAAGTTAAGTCATGTGGGCTATATATTTACTTTCGAAACCGAGAATTGAAAACTTTCAGCTATAATTCTCTCACTCAGTGATTTTTTCTGAAAAACGTTTTGAAAAGTTTGTTTCTTGAACATCGTTTAGTTTCTGCTCAGAAATATTACCTCTGTTGAAATTTTCTAGTTCACGAAGGGAAAATGCTTATATAATACCTGCTTAAAGTTTCCTTCGAACTGATTTGGTTTGGTTTCTTTTATTTTATTACGGCAAAGAGCGCGAGGGCTATGTGCCTAAGGTAAGGGATGCTTTCGTGAAAGATATTTTAAGAAAAACTGGCTTGTATCCACAATACACTGTAAGGATTATGTTAATTTTATTAATAGTTAAATTTTGAGTTAAACATCCTTTCCTATCGATTCTCACTTCAACTTACCACTTCCGGCCAGAACGTAGTTTTAGAATCACGTCTGAATGGTAATGAGGAAGAGCGGTATATAACCGCGAAGTTTTACAGGCTTAGTGAGAGAGATACCAGATATTCTGGCTGCACGCGTCCGCCTTTTTAGGCTACTCTCTCGTAAGCTATTATTACGCTTGGCCTTACTTTAGGCCCTTGATAACTTCGCAGTCAATTAGCGTTAAGGGGCCAACTCTGTTAGAAGCTTGATAGCTTCGGCTATATCTCTTTAGTTAAGATTAGTTTAGTTTGTTAAGTTCAAGCTCAAGTTTCGGACTTATTGTACAACTCCAAGACGGAGTTTTGTTAAACTTTAATTGAAATAATAAAGGGTTATTTTACCCTTCTATCTTACTGTTTCCTGTCACACGAACTCAAGCGATTATTCGCTTATCAGTTCTTAAGATTCTTCACTTCCAACAGTAAATTAGAATTACACAGTGGGGAATCCTACAACACTTAGGTAAAACCCTGAAAACACCCATGCAGCCAGCCTATTTGCATGGAATCGAACGCAAATTGAACTACCAATGTTAAACGACATTACCGCACTGCCTCTAGTAGACCACTTTAGAACAGAGTCTTACACTTCGGAATCCCTACATGGTTTTTAAAGATCAGCAGCTTATAAAGAGAAGATAATAGTTTAGTTAATTTACCATAAAATTATAGAGTAAATTTGCAGTATTCGGAATTTTTAGGTTGGCAAGAAAGTAATTTTTATTTTTTAGTGTGAAATATAACTCAATTTTTTTACATAAAAATTAACTTTAATGAGTGAAATATCTTCCATTCTATTCAATGACTTTTTGGCACCATTCTGGTATCTTCATGATTACGCCGCTCGTAGAAATTCTGGTCTTTATCAGCAAAATCCTGAACCAAGTATGTTTTGAGGTCATTATTATTATTGAAAATTTAGTATTTAAGAAGTTTTGTAAACTTTGGACTAAATGATGATTCGATGGTGCAAGGTCGGGACTATATGGGGGTTGCGACATCACTCCCCAACCAATCTCCAATAAGTTAGTACATGTTTGGTAAAAATGTGTGAGGCTTTGCATTGTCGTGGTGGAACACGATTCCTTTGCGATTTGCGAATTTTGGCTTTTTCTCTTTTATCGCTTCCTCCGGTTTTATAAAGTGTTGACAGTAAACATCTGAGTTGAACGTTTGGTTGCTCGGAAGCAGCTCAAAATACACAACACCTTTGTAATCCTACCAAATTGACAGCGTGATGTTTTTCTAATGCAATTTAGCTTTCGATATGATTTGTGCTGATTCATCATGCATGGACTATGATCTTGTTCAATTAATGTTATCGCATATGTTACTTTTTCATCACCGAGATAAATCATTTCAAAAAGAGGGCGACTGCATTGCGTTTGAAATGCGTATCTCAAAAATTGACTCGTTGTGTTAAGAGAATTTCTTTCAATTCATGCGAAATAGAGCTAACGAGACCAAGATAGCTCATGTGATTTTAAATTACTGTGTGTGATACATTAATCGTTTTGCAATCTTTCGCACAGTTATATGTCAATTCGATTATGGCTTTAATTTTGTCATCATCAACTTCAGAAGATCGACCAGAACGCTGATCATCTTCAAGCGAAAAATCTCCAGAACGAAACTTTTTTAACTAATTATGGCACATACATTCTGTTAAGCAATGGAGAGCACAAACTTCACATTTCTCTTGGTGAGTCTCAACCGCTTTCTTGCCTTTCAGAAAATAAAAAAGCAAAATATGTAGAAAATTTTTATTTTTGGACGGCATGTTAAAACTGACCGTTAACTAATATACAGAGAATTTCTTTCTATAGTAACCTAAACGTGCCAGCTGGTATATCTTATAAGCAAAAAATTATAAGATTGACAAAAGAATATCAAAACGAACATAACGCTATCTATTTGTGCAAACTGAAATTACTTTCTTGCCAACCCAATAGATATAAATATTTTATTTCAATAAATGTTTTCACTTGATTAAGTAATTTAGTGTAAAAATATTTTAGAATTATAAATTAATTTAGAAATTTTAGTACTTTTGAAAAGTATTTTAACAAGCATCTTGCATGGAGCTCTAAACTCAACTCTGTGGTTCATCTGTTTTATAATTGCAAATATATTCTCAGGTGTTTTCTGTGACTTGAGAAAGGGAATATATAGTCTCGGATCCAATATCAAATTTGCGCAGTTATTTTTCAACAAGCTACTGCATTCATATCGAAATATGTGTTATTTGTCAAACACTGCAGCACATTTGGACATAATAATTGACTCTGAACAGAAGGCATCTTCATTGAATTATTTTATAGTATCTGATCAGAAGAAGTTTTTTATTAATTACGATAGATATCTAAAGTGCTTCATAATTAGTGTTGTAAAATTCGGGATAGAATGTCTGGCGTCGCTTAAATATTAAAGCCATGCGTATTTTTTTCTACTGCAACTCCCTTACAGAAATATTAAAGCATAAACTTTGTAACGTCACTTCCATTTTTTCATTAAACCGAAGAAATCGCATTTCAACAACACAAATTAGCTATTGAAGATCTTTTGCCTATCATTAAAGTATTATTTAAAGAAAGTGTAGAGACATTGTGTATTTTTTGGAAGCAAGTAAAATGAAAAATATGCAACGCCTTCGCCGAGAATCGAACCGCGGACCTCTCAATTACGCGTTGAGAGTGCAGATCACTACAACACGAAGGCTCGCTAAGAAGGCGGGAGAAATAACTTATTAAAGGAAAAAAGTATTAATGATAAATAATTAGATTAATTTAGAGAAAGTATACAGAAGTTTTAGGCATGCCACTTTGTGCCTGAATAAAAATTAAGTTTCGTTTTCCTAATACATTATTCTTCTATCCTTTTAAATGGTTCTTTGTAAAAGCACTTTTGTGTCATATCTTCAAGTTAGTGTTTATACAAAGAGAAAAACATTTTCGATATATTCAATTTGTTACTTTATGCACAATGAGAAGGTGTCAGCAATTTATGTGCAAGTCTCCCTTATCGGACAAATCAGTATTGCTCTGTTCTGGAATAATACTTAAAAGCTATACATTGGAGAATATGTGGAAAGTTGGTGTCCCAGTTAGAAAAACATTGGGCATTAGAAATGTCTATCCAAATTTCACTCCTTGTAGAAATAACCTTTTTTAGTTAACAGTAGGTTTCAGCCTCTGTGGAACGGAACTCTTTGATTACACGTTTTTCGTTGTGCAATTACAAGAGAAACCTCCCCCCCCCCGTGAAATAGGAAAACCTTCCCCTATGCATTATTTCCAAAAAAGAATGCATTTCGAAAGTTGTGTATAATCAGATACCTGCTTAGTTATGTTAGTTATGGAATTTTCAACAAAGAAAATGGTAGAAAAAAGAAAAAAACTATTAATAATCTAAAGTGTTAATAAAGATCCATGATGTCTGTTCATGGATTTTTTTTATGAAGGAAAAAAATTGCAAATTTGTAAAGTCTTTTATTTTTTGGAAGCATGTCATATCGACTTTAAAAAGACTCTAGAAGCATTTTCTTCTCCTCTTGTGAAACAAAACAAAAGTCAGAAGAAGGGTGTATAAGACCCTTTTATTTGAATACAAAGAAGTAACAATGACAAAACTTGGGCTTAGACAAGCCAAGACTTGTGGCTTGCCTTAAATACGTAATGTTTCATTAATCAAATGTAATAAATTAATCTAACGACTCACAGAATAAAGTAACGCGCAGGAAAGGCTCTGGTTTGTAGAAAAACCGGCGAAACAAGCTTAATAGCTAGAAGCACTCAACACCACAGAATAAATTTCTAATAAATCTTGATACAACGTGGCCTGAAATAAGCAGAACATATTTTAAAATTAACTTGCAAAACCTTCGCTTAAATAGCACTTCTTTCTTCCTCAGTCAGAATAAACGCTCGCTATCTCATTTACATTCTGGCATGTAAGTGTGGGTGAAAAGAAAGTGACAGAAAAGCACTTGAAATTAAAATTAACTATTAGCTAAAAATAAATATATAAATCCTCACAAATTAATAAAATGTGTAGCACTTAACTCTGTTACTGCAACGAAAAGTGACATCACAGTTTTATTTAAAAAACCGTGCTAGTAGTTTGTTAATAAATTCCATTATAAAAGATGTTGGAGTAGTACATAGAAACCAAAATTCTTCTTCTAACATCAGAGGCGAATGGGCTGGTCTGACCGGAATGGTTATTTTTAGAGAGATACCAGTACTTTTTTGCAAACTGGTCATTGTTCGCCAAAACACGAAGATGCCCCGATCTAACAACACAAAGGTACACGGCACCCTTATGAAGTTCAGCTTATGTCACAGAGAATTCAATGGCAATCAAGATGTCGAGACGCCCATTTGAAGGTTTTTATCCTACCACTTGCATAAAGCTGACGGCATCTTTATGACAAGGCCACGTTATGAAATCTTCCAGTTGTTAAGACATGAACAATTTCCTGCTGTGTTTCTGTGCTGTAAATAATTAGATCCAACAGTTTTGAATATATATGAGCTAACAACGATGGATTTAGTACGTTTGCCGTTAGTTTATCTTGGAGACGGATGTCATTAAATATTTTTCTTGAAATGAGTTTATTGTTTTTCCCTGCCTAAATCTTATGATTATGATGAATGTTTCATTTATTTTTAAAGCGCCCATATCAGGTAATGAGGCAATGCTATGGCCACCGACGTCTCGGGTAATTTCCCGAATTCCTGATAACCCCATCTACTTCTGACTGTCATAATGAACAAAGCTAGAGTAATAAGTTTCTAGAGTCTCCCACGACTTTGAAAAAATTATGAATATACTTAATTTGAAATTCAGGGGGTATTTATATGCATTATTTCTGCATGGTACATACAGGTTCAGAAGATACAGATGAGTGGAAAGTAATCGGATACCTCAGTGACAAGTAATTCACAAAAGGTGATAATAAATGACATCAAAAACATAAATTCATAAAAGACTGGAGCATTTTCCTTTTCTTTTGCATAATGCACGAATGTTAGATCCATTAAACAACACTAAGATGGCAGAATTTCTTTTCCCCCATGTTTTAGTAACCAAATGTAAAATTTAATTTAAATTATTTTATTGTTCAGAAAACATTACTTTTTTCTCTTTGCTCCAGTTCTCTTCCATATCTTTGGCCAGTTGTAGCAACTTCCTGCCCACTTCAGCAGCTTGTTCGTTTTGACTTTTCGTGCAGTGGATGTCTGTCCGCTTCTCATCCATCTCGACCTAAAAAAACGAATCTTTTTATAATAATTTGAAATTAGAGTGTCATTTTAAGAAGTAATAAAGGAAGACGAGGTTAAATTCCAAAAACCGTTGTTACCTTTACATTATTGATATTTCTTCAAAATTTTCCTGCCTTTTTCCAACTTTTTATTTGGAGGAGAATTAAAATATCGTATTCGTCAGAAAATGAGATCACCTCATTTATAAAAAATCCCTCTATTTTAAAAGTGTCTTTCAAGAAAAGGTAAGATCATGTAAATCAATCACACAGAGTTCAGTTTGATAAGTTGAAATTATCTTATGAGAAGAATAATTAAGCGACATAAATATCATATATTGAAGTATTGAAACAAAACTATATAAATATGTTTCGCTTTAGCAAAAAATTAAGGGCTAGAAGATAAATTATCTCACTTTTAAATCTGATTTTTAAATATGGTATGTAATTTTCAGTTTTTAAGGTAAAGATGACATAACAAAATTTATCACTATTATAGTTTGAGATGCTTTAGTAAGGTACGTATTACTTTTTAGAGTACAAAATAATTGTAAAAGATGCTGTGAACAGAAACGTGTCAGACCAGAATGCTTCGTTTCTTGCCGTTGGTTTTGGAACTGTAAAGCCTAACCTTCACACACCTTTTACTCTGCCGTCAGGATTTTCGCGAGATGGTTTTACTCAATTCGAGCAGGTGCTGTGAAATACTTCAGTGCCGACATAGTTAACGTTTTAATATAACATATTGTGTATACCAAACTTCATTCCCTGTTCTGTTTTCCTTTGGTCAATGAGGATACATGCCGAAAAAATTCATCAATTAATGCAAACTGTAAGGAAGTCTTACGCATTCTCAAAATTTTTCTCAAAGTTCCTCCATTTGGTGCTGGCAAACTTATTATTCCATTCGACGGAATGTAGCGAAAATTCTGAAGGTGATTATCTTTTAAAAATAAGGTTGACCTATCAGAAATCCTGTAACTGAGCGCAATTCTTGTATTTGAAAATATAAAGCTAGACTCGTAACCAAATTGAAGGACATGTTATTTTTATTTAATAAACACTTTTAAATGTATTTTTCCTATGATTACTTTGAAAGTTACAGTCGTTAAGTCAACAAAGTCTCGATCACTTATTTATATGAGTATTATCTCCTTGATTTGGATCTTTATTGAGTTTTGAAGATATCTTAGAATTTCTCTTTGTTCTTCTCAATTTTTTAAGATAGCTCTACGAAGAAATAATCGAAAGCAACAGCATTATTCGGATAATAGATAATTCTGTCGTTAAACCAGTCTAGTGGCCTTAAGATATATGTCAGGATAAATATTTATACATTCGACTGATCGAAACAGTCGAATTTCTCTAATTATATAAAGTAAAATCTTATTTTGACAGAATGAAAGATTAATTTTTGCTTTTAGTACCAAAGCAATGTCTTAGTTGAGCCTTCTGATGGTATTCTAAATCATATCCTGATGATAAATGGTCAGTTTACACTTTTAAAACCGCTTTTATATATCTTTCATAAATTTTCAGTTTTTTTTTTATTTCCTAATATACTTTTTATACAATTTTCATTTATTTAATTTTTTTAGCTTTAGGTATTTCAGAGAATTTTTCTTTGGATTAGATCTATTTTTCAAGCCTAATTTTGTATATTATTTTATATAAAGTATATTTTATTTATTTTTAATGGATGCCACCGCTATCATAAACAAAAACTAGCTAAAGCTTTTCGAGCGCCCGTTTTTTCTAGCTTGTGCACACACAATTGGCTAATCATCTTAAATCATTTACCGATTTCTCTTTCAGCTAAGCGTCTTCTACAACACGACTGTGACTAAGCTTTCCATTTTAATATGATTTCAGTATATACTGTCGTTTAAGTTTAGTAGAACAATGTTATTTCAATCTTTTGATATAATTTTGCAAGAAACAATTAGAAACTTCTTTTTCCGAATTTTAAATGCTTTATTTTAAGCATTAGAATATAAAGTGAAAATATTGTTGCTTCGGATTAAATAAAATCCTTTATTTTGCGTTTTGTCCGATTTTTAACCGTTGTTTATTTAATTATATTATAAAACTCGCTCGAAAATTTAGATTTTTACTTTAAGAATTTTCGAGTTTTACTTGAAAAATAGATATTACCCATTTTTGAAGAAATGCTACTACTTTAATTTGGTCGCATGAATTATGAAACAGTATCTGTAAATATCCATTAGTAGAATTATGCCATCAATTAAAATAGTACCAGCCGCCCTTTTGCTACCTATAATATATACTCCTTGTGATAAATTCACTTTTAATGATTTATATGTAAAATACTCTTTATCAAACTGAAGATTTAATCCAACAGTATTCTATTTGCATGTTATTTATGTTAAAAAAATATGCATTTTGTAGGACAATTTTCTGAGAAGGACAGTCTTTGTCTACATAATAAATGGGAAAACGTATTAAAACACTTTGGTTAGTAAGATTCATATTCCGGGAAAAGTTTACGCTTTCCAGTGATATTATCTTTCGACAGTTGGGAAGGAGTCTTAAAAAATGACAATGAACTGGTCGAAGAGAGGCAGTAAAGCTTATAATTCCCATTCATGTTTCAAATTCTCAAATGTTCTTTACCGCGTTAGCCATTTTGAAATACTATGCCCATCCGGTAGGGCTGTGGTTGACGTTTTCGCCTCTCAGTAATCAGGGTAATAAAATATATAACTTTCAAAAGGGTTCAGACGCTACAGAAGATTTGTCTAGAAGGGATACTCTGAGTAGCGTGATATAAAAGTAAGTAAATAATGATGAGATATTCGATCATATTATGATTAACTTTTACGATTGATATGGGAACTTTCTGTTTTGGAGTGGGAGATATAAAACATTATTTAAGAAACATTTAAAAAATAAAACCTTATAATTAAACTAGGTATAGAAAACTCACTGTATGTTCTGTCGCATAAGATGGACAGTTAAAGTACAACAAAAATGTGTTCAGTAATGCAAACTTAACGGAATGTAACAAGACAGGACAAAAATTAATCAACCAAGACACCAGGATTTTACCATATGGTAACACAGCTGTACTATCCCTCGATATCCTTCAGGGAATCAGCTGTAATAACTGTATGAAAGACATTTTCATACAGTTATTACTTAGTAAGATTAAGAACACTAAGATAAAAATTTATTTCTTACAGATAGGCTTTGAGAAGGATATTTAAAAATCCCTTTTATTATGTGCCGTTTCCCCAGCTGCTGATGGAAACGTATTTTGTAGTGACCCAATTAACATTCTTTACAGCTATTATAGGATAATTAAATGCGTAAGTTTAGAAATGCTTAACGCAAACCACTCATTTTAACTTAATTTCAGGATTATACGAACTTGCAGAAAGTTTCCATGAGCATGAGAGCTGCTGTAAGAGAAGTTGAGTTTTTCACACTGGAATAGACGATTTCTTAAGTTTGAAGTAAAATTCATATGGCATGGGATGTTTTTTATGGCATTCATACCATCGATTATTTTGTCCCAACCCTGGAGTTTTAAAATTTATCTCTGGATAACACTTCATTAAGATTCAGTTTTACAGTATGTAGCATTGTCATACAACTTTTCTGGAATAAATTTTCTGGTATTTTCTGGAATGAGTGAAAAATAGATTTCCTAATAATGAGATGAAACTTCGAACTGTTCTATCCATATTACTGACTTGAATTCCAAAGAACATAGAAAGTACAGCTGTAGAAACGGATAAGAATTCAGACACAACAAAAGGTTTCGTTTCCTTGATTGGAACCAACTTTCAGAATAGGAAACGAATTCTGTTCGTACCTTTCAAAACTGGTTAAAGGCATACTTCATAGAGTGAACTGCTTTCAAAAAAGGAAAATTTTTAACTGTTTATTACTAATTGGTAGATTAAAGCCGCTTTCCTTAAAAGATCTGCAGTAATTTAATGCTTTTTATATTATAGGGTACTTTTGATACGGAATAATTAGGTTATATATCTCTTCAAACATCAACACAGAAACTATAAGACAGATTTTGCACTACACGTTTCTAGTTTCACTTCACTCATAGCTCTAGTATGTAAAATTTTAGAAGTTCTGTAAGAATTAAGAATAACGATTCTTGACTAAACATTGAGCATTTATAATGGCTTTTGAAAAATTTGTTAACTTTTGTATGAAAAACAAATTAGGGTAATAAAGCCTAATGCTGTTTTTGTCGATAAAATAATCATTAGGATTTCCCTCAATTTAACTATAAGTGTAAATACAGTTGGATTATCTAAACTAATTCATTAAAAATTTATCAAAGATGCCAGAAAAACCCGTAAATAAACCTTTCGGCAAGTCAAGCTTTTATCACCTGCAGAAATTAGATAGATCATAGGGAATAGAAAGAAATTCCATTTGACCACTATCCACGAACTTCTGCCCCTTGCTCTCACAAACGTTCACAGTACTCAAGCGAATCACTTGAGAAACAGCTCTTGAGTTCCCGCAACCTAATAAGTATCACAAATTCCACGTTCTCCGACAAGAACAGGCAAAAGCAAGCACTCTCAATTTACGATTGTGGACCCCGCACAGAACTCCGCCCGGCTTTAAGAGGCGATTCGCCGCTCTTTAAAAAGCGTCTTTATGTGTTTGTTAATGCGGGCCACTGCGGCCGAGATTCCATTAAAAGCGCCAGCAAGGGCTGGCCATTAAAAATTAAAACCGCCTTTGCAGGAGATGGCTGCTGCCCCGTTAAATCAAAAGCACGAGCTTCCAGCGCCCCACTTTATGACGGACGGTTTTGGCGCGCTTTTATTTTCTCAGATAGCGAGTTTTGGCGAGATGGAAATGGTCATAAAAAGGTCGTTTTTGGAAGAATGCCCGATGCGCGATGAATGCCATTAAAATTGTATTTTTTTATTATTATTTTATTTTCCTCGACGTTACTTTTCTTTCTGATTTATTTTATTTCTATTTTATTTTAATGTAGCGTGTGCGATGTCTGTAAAATTCGCACGATGCTTGGATGAAAGACCCCAGTTTGAGGCATAAGTTATTTAGATTGTAATAAGTACATTTTTACAGTTAACTTATTTCGATCACTGAGTAAACAAAACTAAAATAAGGGTTTTATATAATAATAAAATGCTTAATTTTGATTATTCTTATGTTTCGCGACCAGCGTGATTTATGGTAGTTAAAATCTTTTAGACTAATTACTCAGCATCGCTCAACTGATGGACTCACTAACATATCCATGTAATTGATCGCATCATCTTTAAGTAACTTCATATCAGTTTGATTTTTTATTTTTCACACTTCGTTTATCTAGCAAATCCAAACGTCAGGCACAGTAATTAACTGAAGTTTAAATTAAATGTCTCGCTCTAATTTAGATTTATAACTATTTTAATATGCGTTTTAAAAACTTAAAAAGAGCTAAAAATTGTTTCAACTCTCAGGCTGAAAGTACAGCACGCCATGCCATTATTTGCATGAAGTGATGTTAGTATAGTTAACATCTTGATTGACATACCATCAGAGTTAGAATCGTAACACTTCTCAACTAAAGTAACGTAATCATTAAAAATATCTAGTCGAGTTGAACGAATTCTTTATTTATTTGATTGCTAATTCTTCGAAGCAATAGTTGTTAAATTCTCAACAACTCATATTATTGTAAGCGGGAAAAATGTACGCTGATATTACGGTCACAATTATATTCTACCTTGTTTGTAGGAATTCTTCTTTAATTCTTTATATTTCATCCTTTTATTACAACTTCTAGAACGACCAGCTGAAAATGAACAACAGAAAAAAGGAAACTGAAATATTACTGAGTGGCTAACAAAGTAAAATATCTAATGTAAACACCCGCATATTACTTCTTTGTACGGTCAACTAAATTCTACATATTTTTGGTGCACTTTATTTAAATTTAGTATTTCCTAGAATTATTCTAGATTGTGGGATCGGTTAATTAAAGCGATCCATGGAGTTCGAATCATACGTACGTACGTGCAGACGTCACGAATTTGATTCCGTTTTGGACTATTTTATTGTGTCCGTGTTACGGTGAAAGACCGAAATCTGGAGAATGTCGACTTTCACCGGTGAATGTCAACATTCACATAGTCTCTTGGTGTATGTCTGAAATATTTTCCAAATACTCTTATTTCTGACTTACACCGGTCAATGTCGACATTCACCATGTACTAATGGTGAATGTTGAACATATAACAATATTATATTTTCTTCTCCGTAATTCAGTCGCGAATAAACGCACTTGAGACTTGAAATAAACTTAAGAACATGAGAACCTAAAACACACAATACATTCAAAGTGAGAAAGGAAAATAATAGAAGTTAAAAACTTACTTAATTATACAGTACGTTTTAAATGAGAAAATAAAATAACAGTAATAAAAAACTTACTAAATTATGTGATTCAAATCTTATTTATTGCAACAACTTAAACTATTATGGCCCTTTATGACCTCTCTTTTCGACATATACCAGAGCATATCTGTGATTGTCGACATACACCGGTGAGGGTCCGAATATACAAGAATGTAGTGCAATATTCGATCTTTCACCAACGTATTTGGTGAATGTTAACATTCTCTAATTTCGGTCTTTCACGGTAACATCCGTACATACAGACAGGCGTTTGATAATATTTGCCCCAAAACTTTCATAGAAGAAGTAATATTGTGAATTTCTAAGAATGTAAAGTTATACAAGGTGATCCAAGAGTCGCGCACATCACACTTTCAAAAATTGTGAAAATTCCAAAATCGAAATGTAGGATTCTGCTATACCTAGAAGTTTAATTCAATGGCCTTCATACCCTACAAGACTGATAAACAGGCTATCGCTGCAGTCTGAATTAAGATGGCCTATTCTTAAAAAGGTTAAAATAACATTTTAATTGAACTTGTGCTATGTACGTAACTTCGGCACTTTTGGGTGTTTAAAGTATCATAAAACTGAAAATTTAAATTCAAATTGTGCAGTCTTAGATTACGTAGAAAATAATAGTCAATTAGCTAAAGTAGGACCACCAGCGGCGGAGTGGAAAAAGCCGCTGAACACTAGTAGTTCGGTTCGGGGATCGAGCCCTGGCGAACGGGTTGGCTGCATGGGCGTTTTCGTGGTTTTTCCCATGTGTAACGTGGATACGAGCCAGTTTCCCTTAAAAAGACCTCCACGGGGCTTCCCTCCCTTTCCGTGTAGTGCCTAAGGGCAGAGCACGTAATAAGCAAAAAGAAAAAAAAAAAAATACTAGCTAAAGTAATTAACGAAGCACTTTTAAAATAGGTTTTCAAGATGGCTGAAGCCGGAATAAATTTTGGCTGGCGAAAGTACATAATTGCAAGTTGCAAAATGATGTAACTCTAAAACATTCAAACCCTCAACTAAAATACTCAACAACTTATTTCAATTTTGGGAAGGACTACGGAAAGAAGAAGTTATATTTAAGATTTAAATTCTAATAACTGGTTAATTAACATAAAATTCTACAGGTATTAATTGCAAATTGTTTCACGTGTGGCACTCTTGATCTGTTAAGTAATATGTTACTTGAAATTACAGTTACAGTTTATGATTTTAACTTTAAAAGCATTTGCTTAGATGCAAGATGGAGATAAGGATTCGACCACCATAAGAAATGAAGTAACTGCTCTCTTCTAAGTTCAGATAAAATAGAAGAAGCCAGGAATAAAACGTTGCAATCGCCAACAAAGAGTGTTAGAAAGACGGCATCCATCGAAACCAATTCATGCATTGTGAAGTAATGCTCAATCATAAAAAATTCGTTTTACTTAGCTAAAACTCATCTCCCTCTTGCGTCAAATAAACGGTTTTTCTGTAACAATATAGAGGGGAGAGAGTCATATCTTAAGACAATTTGCCATTATAATCATTTCGGAATTTCTACCGTTTTTTTTTTAACTTTTGATGTATGAGCCTTTTGAATCAAATTATATAAACGGATTGCTATCTTCTTTATTTTATTCTTTTGAATTACAACAGATTCCTTCTATTTAAAAGGATAAGCGAAGTTAATTTACCTCTGTGGAGTAATGCGATGCTCCCGGGAAACTGTCATTAAGATTTATTACATTCAATGGAGGCATTTGAATTTTCCTGATTAAATTCTGAAACGAAAGAAAAAAAAAACATCAAAATTCTCTGAAATGTAAATGTATCAATTAATTTCATGAATCATTAATTATTCATGGAATGTCATAATTCAAAGACTTTTCATTAAATTTTTAAAGAGCCAGCCATGCCAAGAAGTCAAATGAAAATATGCTGACTTATCAAAGTATACAAAAAATTACTTCTGTCAACACACTGAGGTAAAGTTAATAGTTAACAGTGATGGTAAAGAATATGCGTAGTGTTACAAACTCATCAGCGTGTTCTAAACGTACTGAACTCCAGAAATTTATTCTCTGTAAATATATAACAGTTCAGATATTCTCCAGTATACCACTTACGACTTATTAAACTTATGCGATCGAGCTTACTTTAATTACATCGTAAATCATTGAGTTTTGAGAACATTCATAATTTTAGCACATCTCCCTTAAGGGAGATGGATTACGTTTTCTATTATAGTAATAATATATGTTATTATAGTAATAACGTTTTAATTATTTCTACTGCTGTTTTTTTATTTTTTTTTATTTATTAATTTATTATTATTATTCCTGCTGAATTAAAAAAAAAGTAAAAAATAAAATTTAATGAACAAGTAAGGCATATAAATTGGATATCTTATAAATAAATTCATATTCTTGGTAACTTAAAGACACCTAGCAACAAACAAAAAAACTATTCAGCCTTGTTGCTAATACTCGGTATAAGCTTATTAAATATGTTTTAGGTACCAGTTCTTTGTTTTCTTAATCAAATACGATAACATTCAGATCTAATATCTTTCCTACAAAAGCTTAGACGGTGCCTAAAATAAGCGTTTCTTTAACGTATTAAATTTCATTCATAAGCTTATAAGGTATTTCTCACACCTTCTTGGCATGCCTTCGTGATGTGGTGGTCTTTCCACTGAGCCGGTATTCCAGAGGTCCGCGGTTCAATACCCGGCGAAAGCGTTGTTAACTTTTCACCTCTTGCCTGCTTCCAAAAATAGCTGCCTCTACAAGCTAAGCTTTATTTCACTGTATTAAAGCTGAATTAATTGCATTTCATCATCACAGGGGTAATTTAAATATATATATATATATATATATATATATATATTTAGGCGAGCTTTCTACAATTTCTAATATACTTAATTTTGCAGCATATTGCGCAAAAAATTATCCAGACCAAATTGGGCATACAGTATTGTACTAACTACCTTGCTTGTTAATATATATATACGTGTGTGTGTGTGTCAATAAATGGGCAGTTATAGGTGTAAAAGAAGTAGCAAAAAGGAAAATTTGCTTTTCATTAGGAAGTATTAGTCTATTTAAATATAATAAAAATGAAAAGTATACTGAGATCAACTGAGAGCAAATACTCTCTCGGGCCTTATATAATTTCCACCCGACAGCCGAGATATTTCTAGTACTTTCCGCTTCTCGAGATTAGACCGACAGACAAAGTAGACAGATGTCTTGTGTTGCACCCGCTAAGTCTTTCTGCACCTATGGGCGAAAAATCAAGCTTAGGTGCGAAAGAAAAGGTATGTAGAGAGGGGGGGGCGCAATTTCGTATTTCAGAGGAGAGTAAAAAGGAACTTCGTATATTTTATACGAGTTCGAAAGGCCAGGAAGATAAGATGGGACAAAATAAAATTTGAAAAAAATGGCCCAAAAGGTAATTGAGAGAAAAAAAATTGCATAAATAAATAATTTTAAAAAAAGGGTCTATAGAAAGAAAAAAAAAAGTGAGAGAATTAAAAAAAAAAAAAAAAAAAAAAAAAAAGAGATTGTGGCCATGAGGGAAGTCAAAAGGGGAGGAAGCTGTTGACATTCACATTAAATAGTGTCTTCCATGTGTGTTTGGTAAAGTTGAATAGATGTGAAGAGGTGGAGAAATTAAATATAAATATATCAATTTTGGGGGGGGGGGATCCAGTCACTTAACAGTTTAAGTCTAGTTTAGAAGCTAACTTTTGCTATGACGGGAAACTAAAATATAAAAAATTTTAAAATATTTTTTTATCATGGGAAACAAGGCTATATGTTTGCCTCTACCTTGAGACACAGCAACGAAGGACACATAATATCAGATAAAATTATATATTAACTAAAGTAACATCATCTATTACGGTATCTAACATATTCATGCATTTTTCAGAAAACAGCATCAGACTAAATATAAATCCATATAGTGCGAGGGCATGCTTCTCGAAATTGCTGGAAGACAATATGAGGGTCGAATTACGGTTGCAACTAATACAGTGATCAATCTCATTTATTCAATTACAATCCTTATTACGGTGATATAGGACTCGGACCAAAATGTCGCCAAATGATTGCCAAGTTAGGCTACTGTTTGCCATTTCTCGTCAAATTTGACTACAAAAATAAGTCGCCAAAACTGTTGCTAGCTCGGCGATATCTCGCCAAATTACCGAGTTACCCAGCTACTCAATATTAAACAGACTTGCTCCTGTATTCTTATTTTTCCGACATAGCTTCTCTCTCTCTCAATTTTTTATGTTGCATTACAAAAAATACACCAGTTTCATGTATAATTGCACTGAAATTACCAACCTATGTATATACTTCGTAACAATAGCAAAGAATGGAGTTATTCATAACAGGATCTTTTGATATTAAAATATGACGAAGTTTTTATGAATGGTCTTTTTATTTGAATTACAGTAACTTGTTACCAAAAGATAAACAATTAGGAAGGCAGAATGAATTTTATTGCTTGCGAAGTTAGTTATTCAAGCAAAACATAGAGGACTAAATTATTTTCAGAATGTACGCCTTTCATACGGAACCTAAGACAGTAGATTTTTATTGTTAAAATATTGAACTAAAATTGGCGGTAAATAAAAGTACATTCATCAAAATTTATATCTATTAACATTTATAAAAGCCTTATTGCGATTCCTGAATTCTCGAAAATGAAGGTTAAGGAACAGTGCTTTTAACTGAGTCGGAAATTTACTATTTAATTTTTCACACATACTGATACATAAACATAAAGTATCATTTCGTAGTTTTATTCCAAGACAAACGAAAAGACTAACAAAAACGTAGCATCCTACTTTGCGTTCTGTGATTGGCGTACTGAAAATTTCTTAAAAACGTTATTAGGAGTAATACATTTTTACGAAAATTTAATGTAAGGTATATTAAAAAACAAGTTATCCAATAATAAACTAAGCTAAACATTTTACTTTCTTTCTGTGTATTAGCTCATTCATTTTGCAGATTTCTAATTTTTTAATCCTTCCATTTATTGATCAAATTCTAATCAAAATCAGTTAATTTTGAAATAAATAACATATTATTTTTCTTTTAAGTTCTATTTTTTTTAATTTATTGCATCATATTATTTCCCAATTAATTTTTATGTTAATTATCTTTTTTGAATTAAAACCTTTTTATCATATTAATTTCTAATTATTTTTTTCTATAAAATCTATTATCTTTCCTTTCAGTTCTCATTAAAATAGTTTACTACATCATCTCACTATTACTTTTTGTCTGAGAGAAAGATAGTTTACTATACACTTGTTTTATTTCTCATTCAGAAATTGTATTTCATATCAATATCCGATAACTTTTAGCCCCAAAAGGACTATTACTCTCGACATCAGATTCTGCATAGGTTCACTATAAACGGCGTATCACTTTTCAAATTGTTGCCGTCAAATATTATCGCGCTGTATTAGTTTTAAAGTAATTAAGTAATGAAGAATCTGCATGTATATATGTATGTACGTTTCTCACACTATAAAAAACGAGACACCTAAAGCCACCAAATTTCAAATAACTTCTCGAGGAGGAATAATTACTCTTCCACCCGAACATGTGAATCAGGAAGCACGAATTTTGAATTTCGAATTTCTTTAATTATGTATTTCCTATTTTATAAAACTTTAATGAGTTTTTGAATAACAAACTAAATGATTTGAAAAAAAAAGTGGCAACATTATTCGAAATAAAACAGCTTTGTCTCCAACGCGCGAGATTGTTGCCATTAGTAAAAAATGTAACCTATTTATCTTTCTATTTTAATTAACAAAGTCGGCTCTATGAAAGCAGTGTGCTGCCCCCGGCCGACACTTTTATCTTCCACGCGCCAGTGTGTTGTCGTTCAATAAAGCCTAAGATATTTCCAAATTTAATCTGGAAGATTGTTGAGTAATAAAGTAAGCGATTTAAAAGCAATTAATACAGTTCTTAAGAACTTTCTACTTTTTGATGTAATTGATTCAAAACGTGTATTACAATTAGGAGATGTCTAATTAAAATCATTCAAAATTTTTATGAAATTACCCTAGCTGGACTCATTAAAATCATTATATTCTTTTCCTTTTTTATGATAACTAAGTATGGCATCTTGCTGCGTGGGCAGCTTATTTTCAAAGACATAATATAGCAGATATAAAAATATGTTTAGCAGCCTTTAACAAACTCTATTCGGGAATTCTAAAGAAATGCTGTTTTTAGATATTTTATGATTTTGCTGTTGAATGTAATTTTATGTAGCTAAGTGAGAAGAACATGATATTTAACAAATAAAGTTAACGCATAAAAAGTTAATAATAAAAAGACAAAAAAATTTTATTGTTAGCCATCTTACTAAGAAGAGTGAATATTGACATAATGAATTGGAGAAAGACTGAAAAAAATATAAATAGCATGTATGCCAACACTTAACACTGCATCAGGAACTCTATGCTGCTATACAGCTTTTAGAAACTTTGTGGTTTTGTTGTTGAACTGTATGTGGAGTAAGTGCAAATAAAACAATGCTTAATAATAAAACTAAACAAGGAAGTAAAAATCTGATGTGTACATCACATGGCTTCCTTGTACGGAATATTAAATTATACGCATTTTTTCTTGCATTTCATTTAAGCTTATTGTCCTGAATTAAATTTATTTCGTCGATAGCGCATAAATCACAATAGAATAAATGCACTCTTTAAAATTCACTATATTTTTTTACCTTGGCG